TTCTCCTACTAAATCTCTCCACATATATATTATAATTCTATTAGCTTTGCTGTTGATTGCTCTCACATCATTTACTTTGAAATTAACTCATATTATTCTATATGGTCTCATATACGAGTGAAGATCCTATCAGAGTCTTTCGCACGGTGAGGTTCTGAGCCATACCCTGTAACAAATAGGTGGATGTAGGGTGTTAATTTGGATTTCCCGAAAACAGGGAATTTCGTTTGTATTGATAAGAAAGCTTATTACAAACTAATGAATCGAAATTACAACAGAAGCAGAGGGAATGCCCTCTTTGTTTAGTGTGGGGACTTTAGGTGGTTACAGGATGCTTCGCTCGATGCTTGTGTCGAGTCTGCTTCCCTTGGACCGTTCGATCGAGGTTGCTGGAGAGCTTCAGTACGCAGTAGAAGCTCGAGTCGATGGAGTTCAGGTCTACTTAGTTCGCCGACGATCAGAGCTCAGAACTAGGCAGGGGTGCTGTAATGCAAGGATTATGCAAAGAACAGCTTGATCTTGATCGTATTGAGGATCAAGAGCTAATGGTTCAATTAGCTGGTTCAACTATGAGCGAATCGCTTGCACGGTTAAACAGCTGAATCTCTTCTTCTTGACTTGGAAGAAAAGCTAAACTTGAACTGAACTCTGAACCCTTTCTTCGTGGCTGGAAGAAGTTCCTAAATAGCAGAGGGACGGAGTGGTCACTCCTTGAATCATGGGATGTGACTATATCCTGTTGAGAGACGTCTTGCCGCCTCTCGGTACTATGAATAGTCATTCGAGGGATTGCGCTTTATGTCGTGTCACATAGAACGGGAAGGCCCATCCTTATATGTGAGGCAATGGTCGTCCACTATTCGAGTGGATTTGACCAGCATTAATGAATCGTATTTATGAGTTCGTAGATTGATTTGGCGTCTGTCCAATCATTCGTACTGTGTGTGGCCGTTCGGCGTGCTCGGAGCATGGTGCCTTCTCCTTTCCGGTCAGGAGAGGCGGTGAAGTAGGTGTACAGTACTCGAGTGGGTCTGGCCAACTTGCCGAGTGCCGGCGGATCCGGCTCTCGACCTGGACGGGTGAGGTGAACCGCATTTATGAATGTTCAGGTGGATCTGACACCTGTCCGATCACCCGTACTGTGAACGGCTATTCGGCGGTCCTGGAGTACTGTGCTCTCTCCCCTCTCAGGTCAAGAGGGATGGGAAAGCCTGTGCCCGTACGTGGGGTAGCGGATACCCAGCTGTACTGACAGCCTTGAGGTTTGCGGGCGGATTCGTCTTTGGACTCGGGCAGGCGAGTTGTGTCCCAGCTGTACTGACAGCCTTGAGGTTTGCGGGCGGATTCGTCTTTGGACTCGGGCAGGCGAGTTGTGTAAAAGGCGAAATTCCGCTATCCCTAGTTGATTCTGACTCGTGCAGGCGAGTTGATCATCAGGTGAATTTCTTGCGAGCCTACAGAGGTATTTTTTTTACCGTCTACAGTGGACAATTTTGATATTTCAATGCCCCACTTGTGCGGCTCTAAGAACCCCGTATAATTGTAGGCGTCTAAAAATGCCTATAGGTGTCCGCACACAGCTCGAGATAGAGAGAAGGTGATGAACATTATTATCCGAAGCAAAGAGGATCATCCGACGTCGACAAGCGCATGAAGCGAATCGGCAAACTGTTGATGACACGACAACGAATCGGCAAACTGTTGACGTCGACAAGCTAAGTGGACCGCACGCGTTAATCAACTCAAAGCGTACAAACGCGCCCAACAGTCAGTTAACACGCACGCATCATTCAACTCATGCATGTTAACCAATTCGTGCGCATCAATCAGTTCGCATGCGTCAATAAACACGTGTGTGTCAATCAACACGCGTTCGACGGTCAATTCCGCAACGAAGCGTACAAGTCAACAAGACGATCAATTACGCAAAACGGTAGAAAATACAAGTCCCGGAAAGACCAGAAAACACCAGAGCTCAGCAAAAATTCGAAACACCGCGTCCGCGCGGGTCGGACCGCGTCGACCCGCGCCCGCGCGGGTCGGCCAAGTCCGACCCGCGGCGGCGCGGGTCGG